CCTTCGTATCGACAGGATTCTGAGTTTGAGCGAGTTATTCGAGCATAATCGACTAGAACTGCGGGGGACGGGGGATTTACGAATTGTGACGAATTCTTTGAGAGGCTTTCCTCCAGCTGTGATTGAAAAGGCTGATGATCATTATGATTTTAGCCGCATAAGGCCTAGCATTCGCTGTCTACCCACAGCGATGATCATTTCCTATCTTCAACATCAGACACTGAGACAATCTCCATTCTATATATTCTCAGATCTGTATACGACGCTAACACATACCTGTGGCCGCACAGTGTCATCGAACAAACAGCTAACTAAAACGATGAGCATTTTCATGGCTGAACTGTGACACCCATTCAAAAGCGATGAGGCACCTGCTGAGGACCTGTAGTGGTCGTCCCATGTCATTCCGTTTCCGGTGAAACATGGCTTCTTGTCTTGGTCAGCATTTTCAATCATTCTTACGGAGATGATGCAGTGAGAAGTGTCTTTGTTGACCAGAGACATCCATCATCCAAAGATGCCCTGATGAAAACTTTCATGACGGAGACTTTGCCTGCAAACATATATTGCAGCAATAGTAGCGCCATGCCAGTCAGTGAGAACATAATTTCTAGCAAGGCACATATACCCTCCAAAACCAATAATCACGGCAACAGTCGCTGCGATGGTACTCAACGCTTTCGAGTAATTATGAAACGCAATTCAAGACGTGCAGATCATACTTGGCATATTCTATTTATATCTTGCAAAACTATACTTCGCGTTGTTTTAAACTTTACCTGCTATCTCTGTTTCTACCCATTGTCTGACCGTTAAGACAGTTAACAAATCACCTAGCTTTCCAACCACCATCAAAGTGGCAGTGAATGGATTTCTGTCATTTCGTGATGCAAGGAAAGCTCGAAGTAGAAAACGCGTCTAATACACGGGTTTTTTAAGTCACTCCATCGAAACTGATTCCTAGTGTCCAAACTTGGAGTACTTCATGGTAGCGATCACCATAAACATTTTGGTAAACACGCATCTTAAAGGACTCACTTCTTGGTTCGGTCCTAAGATAAATTATTGCTGCGCTAATTTGTTCGCTTAATGCACAAACGGTCGAGCAAATTTATGTCGTCATCAGGACTGAGGTCATAGTTTACAAATCACTGTCAATTCGAGTCCCCGGACAGGTGTTAACAGTGCGAGATATGGATGTCAGTTATCCTCGCCCAGAGATCAAGTTACTTCGGATATACAATCGATAACGACAAGCGCGCATCGGTCTGGATCACTGCAGAACCAGTGGAGAAATACCCGTTTCTGTATGACAGGTCAAAGCTTAGCCGACGGTATTTCGTTCAGGCATGCACTCTGTTTCTTGGGCAAATGCCAGCTCTCTGCAAGTCATCGACATTGAGGATAGAATTATGGGTGTTCCTTGAACAAAAGTGTGAAGAAACGAGGTCAGCTATAAAAACTGCAACTACAGTGGTAGCTACCACATAACATTGGGGTTATGCTTTACCTATATGTCTGCCAACGGACCATGGTAGATTCAGTTTGTGTTCGAACGTACCCTTGTTCAATTCAACTCACAGATGTAGTCCTGAATCCAACCCGCTACAGATGCTCAAACACCATGCGAGCATAACCTGCCTAAATGGCTCCTTAGGTTGCTGGAGGAAAGCCTCGGTGCTCTTACCCCGAGTAAATCAGATACCAGAAATTGAAATCATAATTACCGGCGGAGTTATAAGGTTACCATGTGGTAGCTACCCTAAAACATCAGAATTTTTTTTATCCAACCATTTTTATTTATTTTAAACTCTAACTACCTCAGTAATTATCAATTTAATAATCGCTTACTGTACATTAACAGTATGATTCATGAATATTATTGATGAGAATTATTTGATAAGTTTTATGAACGTTTAATTAAGAGCATATAAAGCCGATGAATCCGGTTCGAAATCATTCTGATTGAAAACGAAGTCCCGACCACAAACCCCCCCCCTCATTTATTTCCAAAAGCTACGCTTTTTCTCTGCGGCATTACTGTCAATTATCTGATTATGAGCCGTACTACAT